ATGATAAGCTGATTGCAGAATAGTTCATCCCACATCCTGTATTAGTGGAAAACAGCGCAGTGGTGCTGCCCATTCCTTCCATTGCTCAAGGGAAACCATTGCCTAATTAGCAGCAAAGATGTGGTGAATAAGCCCAGAAAACTAACCCACAAATCAGCACCTTTGCTGAAAAAAACCCTCTCAGTCCACTCGCAAAGAATGGGCATAGCAAAAACTACTTTTTTTTTTTTTTTTCTTTTTGCCCTCTGCATTTGCTGATCTGGGTTGAGAAAAAGCAGCACACCACAGAAGAAAAGTGGCAAGGCAAAGGAAGACAAGCTGTTCTGGTTACAACCATCCCTACATTCAACATCTGGACTGTCTGTCCTCTTTCTTGCCATATTTCTGGACTATTCAGCAGTGGGAAAATACCAGCCCTGTGTTAATGATCTTTTTTCTAAGAGTTTTTATATCAAAAAGGTCAAGGATATCAAACTTCTTGGTACTTCTGTCACTGCTGTGAGTAACACCCAGAACTGATTCTTCCCTACCTTTTTCTGTACAAGAGTCGAGCTTCCCCTTTGTCCTGGTCCCACACCGTTACTTGATCTTGCATTATGCAGCCTGAATGTCCTTGTAAGTCCCAGATACAGGGTCACCCACTGGCTTGGATTTCACCTCAAAAGAGCAACTCAAAAGAGTTGAGACTGCCTGCAGCTGAGAGGGCTGGGGGAGCTATACCTCTCCTCTCATCAGCTTCTTCACCACCTGCATCAAGAAGTGGACTTGTCTTCAGGAGACAGCAGGTGAAGAAGACCCCCACAGCTTCCCAGATAAGGAAGCAGAAGGCTTGCCCAGCTGTTTGCTGTACTTTGAGAATCTCTCCAGATGGACTTCAAAAAGAGACACTGAATCCGTTGCCCCTGGTGAGCAATTTGCTATCTTATGTGGGCCAAGGATCTTTGTTGTACAGATGGTTATCTTGTCCCAATTTAGATCTTCATAAGCCTTCCAATTATTCTTGCTGCTAAGATAAGTACAAAAGAAAAATTTCCCTCTTTGTAAATAAAAGAAATGTTAAGGAATCTACAGTGTTTTTCTGTCATTTGGGGTGGGGGAAAAGGATTAACAGCTTTTCTAAACAGGCAAAGCTTTGCTCAGACCAATGTACCTATAGTCCTCCTTCCTAGTCCCTTCCCCAAGGGACTCAGCCACCTAAAACAGAAAGCAGAGTTGGAGGTGATCCTGCTGCAAGCCCCTGAGGACCATCCTGCTGGTTCAGTATTTTTCCCCCTGCTTTTGAAAATGCTGACAGCTTTCGACCTGGCAAGTTGTTAGCACTGCATTCACAGCCACGCTGGGTGTGAATGTGTGACACGCTGCGGCAGGAAGTGCTTGACATCAGATCTGGCGATAACCGGACCTTTCTTCCAGGAAGACAAGATCATGTGGTCTCGTATGTGAGTAACCCATGTTGTGAATACCAAAGGCAGAACACTTTCAGTGATACAGGGCCCTTCCTCTGCGGGGTCCCCAGGAGCTCTTTGGAAATGTCACACGGGGAGCGGTCCCCTCCCAACCTGATGTGAACGCACAGCGCGTGGTTCGCAAAAGCCCAGAAAGGTGCTACGACGGTGTCTGTCAGTACCAGAGGCAAACCAAAGCTGAACGCCGGCACTGTGTGGAAAATATTGAGCTAACAGTCACAGACACGAGTCCTCTCTTTATCTTAAGCCCGGAGACAGCAAAGATAACTGTCATATCTCTCATCTCCCTCTTTCCAAGATACCTTGTTCGTAAATAGGCAACATCACCCTCAGCCCCCTCCCACATCCCTTCCTTTTTTTTTACTGTGGAGAATCGGAAAGTAAAGGGTACATACAGTAAAGGAATTCCTCTGAAGTCAGATCTGATCAAGGTTTTGGGTCCTTGGTTGATTCAAAAGCCTGCAGTGATAGATGTGGTATGCTTGCTTAGATAGATCAGATTGAGATTCTACATTTTTTGTTCTGTAGAAAACACCAGAGAAGAAGGATGCTTCTTTCCAGGAAAGTTGGATACAAAAAAGTAAGGTCTCTGGCACTGGGAAATGCCCTCAGTTGGATTCTGACCCACTGCGGTAAGCCCTCATAGTGTAAGCTTGGGAAAGCCATATATGAACACATATACACCTAAAGATACAGCTAGTCCCCAGTTATCTGGGGAAATTTTGGCTCAAAGTAACTTTTAAAGGTAAATCTGATTTCTTAAATCTCTCTAGCAGTTCTGAAAGCATTTCTTATTTTCACTGCATGCCTCAGTTTCCCATATGTACAGCAATGAGTTAGTCGGGATAACCACACTGACACATTCCCAAACACTGCAGCTTTTCATCCACATTTAACATTTATCTGCTAGAATCCACCATGAGGCAAGTACAGCAATGGCTTTTGGTCCTCATGCAGTCCCAGAGTAAACCTGAACCTGTAGCAGAGCTGAAAACAGATATCTCTTGCCCAGCTGCCAAAATGAGTCCAAATGTGTCCTGGCCCAAATGAGCTCAGCCCCAGGTCAATGCCACTAGCTGGAGCTCAGCCCCAGGTCAAGAGTCATCCCTGTCCCCATCCCCTCCACCCATTTATTGACAGAATAACCCTATTTACTCTGCTCTAGCTAAAGTGTGGTTGCTTTTTGTGAAAAACAAAGGGGCACACACAGAGCTGCGGGGCTGGAAGCAGAAGGTGGCACAGGCAAGGTAGGTGAGGAGGACCTGGGGCTAGAAGAAAAGTCGATGCTGCAGGGACGAGTGAGAGGTGGTGCAACAGAGTGTGAGGAGCTCAGTGTCGGGGGACAGGGCAGTGAGAAGAGCGAGAAGACCAGAGGGAGCCTTGCAGGTCAGGACTGAGAGACACCGTGCTTTGCTTTCACCTGCATGACCATTGTGGTAACCGGACCCGCTACCTACTGCCATCTTCTCTCCTTCAAGCAATCTACACCTGCCAGCCAGCATCTGCTCCATCCCTGTGCTGGGGAGCACACACCCTGTGTTTTGTCTCTCCCTCCAATGGGACCAAGGAGGGTAGCTAAGAAATACAACAGTTGCTCAGCAACTCCCTGTCCCCCGAGGAGGACAACATAAGATATCTGCACCAGCATCCTGGGTTGTTCTTCTCTGCACAGCTGGAGGTGCTTCCTACCCTGACTTCTTCCAGGATCCCCCTGCTCAGCCTGCAGATCTTCTCCCCCTGCAAGCCTCTGAAACCTCCATTTCAGAAAAGAAAGAAGCCATTGCACGGGGTGCGCTGACCCATTGCGGCAGGACGGTGCAGGACAAAGGCCGAGCTGAAGGGACATGGCATCAACTTATTGATCAATGAAGAGACCTTGAGCTTGGGTAAATAGATGTCCTCCTCTCTCCCCCACTCCATGCGTGAGCTGGCTTTGCGTAGGGGGTGTGGGCCAGGCCTCACAGGCAGCAGCAGGCTTCAAAGGTAGGTCTGCAGCTCTGGGGGAAACCCCAGTGCCTACCATCAAATCTTCTAACAAAGAAAGAGGCTCTTCTGCTGCTGCTTCCTGCTCTCTTCCCCCCACCCCTCTGTCTGTGGTTCTTTGCTTGTGCCTGCTGTTTCTGATGGGATGCTGTGACAGCGGAGAAGTGCCCTTGCTCTCCTGGACCACCCAACCTGGTTCACTGGGGAGGAGATCCTCCCCAGAGGTTGCACGGAAAGGTGACCCACAAGAAGCAAGGGAGGGCAGGCTGTGCTGGGCCTGTTTGTACCGCGTGCCTCTCTGGAAGGGTGCATTAGAGCAAGCAGGTGTGCGGATGATTGTCCAAGTGCTGGTGTTCACCAAGATGGGTTTAATGTTCCAGAGTGAGTTACCTGGTGCTTATGTTCTGCAAGCATATTTTCATGTTGCGAGGCAGCCTGGAGGGCTTGGGGTTCAGTAACTGGGGGAAAGCAAGGAAACTGAGAAGCCCACTTCCCCCTATCATATGAGCGCTCCATGGCATCCACGCGGGCTAAAATGTGCATGAGGCCAACCATCTCCTCCCACACCTGCAGCAATTCCCTCCCATGCACTCGCGCCCCACGCTCACACGCGCCACGGTGCACGGAGATAACCCGCAGGCACTTAGACAGGGCACAGGCATTCCCCAAGAACCCTCTGCCCGCCCACGGCGATGCGTTCACATCCCTTTCCTCTCCAGCCACAGAAACACAGAAAGTCTTTGGGGGCAGCCGTCCACTGGGTGATGGCAGAGGAAAGGAGAAGGAAGGTGGGTGAGATAACCAAGATTAACGTGGCTCTCTTGGGCAGTGGCATTTCCTACCCTCAGAGTCTGGGGCTGACAGGAGAGGAGTGGTCAGGAGGAAGCAAAAGAAGCAGCCCGGGGGAGACAAGGGGCAAAGGAAGCCAGAAGGTGTCCCCTGGCACAAGCAGAGGGTGGCAGAGAGCCGAATGTTGGTCAGGTGCTCCCTCCTCACTACCTCAGCTAGTGAGTCAGTGCCAGCATGGGCTTAGCCCTGGGACACCAGGTCTGGTGGGAACGGCAAGGTTTGCTTACTTTTAGGGACGGAGAGCAAAATGGCACAGCAGGCAAAATGCAACTTCAGGCTCCCAGGCTGTGGCTGTTTTGTGCAGCTTCGGTGTGCATTTGAGGTCATAGATTTTCTTTTGCATTAATTTCTAGGTCAGTAAAATACCAGTTTTAAAACCATTCCCAGCCTGGAAGGATAACACTTTTGTCTGCAGAGAAATTCATTATTGTAACTCATTTGTGGTTTTGGCAGAAGCAAAACCCAGGGAATGCCTTTGAAAATTGAGGAAATACCCATGCGTCATAGACAGGACAGTGTCCTGGAAGCCTGTCTCCCATGGAATTAGGGGTTTTACTCACATTTGCACTGAGCAAAGTCTTTGATGGTTAGCTTGGTGGTGTAGATTCTGGGAGAGGAGCACAGAGGTGGAAGAGCACCTCCAGAGACAGATGTAAAGGGATGCAGAAAACCCAGCCTGACCATGGTGTGCTGTGTCACTAGATGTCCCTCATGGAGGCCGAGGAACAGGAGGAAGATGCCAACTCCCTCTCAAAGGATGAATCAGAGACTATCTCTCGTGACTGCCTCCGCTACGTGCCCCTTGGGATAGTCTTTCTTTTGCTGGCTGGAGCTGCTGCAGCAACCTGGTATTTCCTAGGTAAAACTTCAGCATGTTTTGTCCCCACAGAGGAGGTGGATGGGGTGTAGTCAAGGCATTGCCCAGCCCAAAGCATGTTAGTGACTCTGGGTCATCTTTACAGACTCATACATAGAGGGAAACCCCCCTCCTACATATCAGCAAGGTTATCCAGTAGTGTCTTCTGTTGGCAGACTACAGACCGTGGCACCTGGAACCAGCCGTCCTGCAGTTTTACTCTGGCAGCCTCCAGGTCATCAATCGCCAATACTCCCCGGACCTTGGGCAGGTGGAGTCCAGAGCCTTCTGGTTGGAGTCAGCTAAGCTCCAGAAGATGGTGAGGGCAATTTCATGACCAGAGCTAGCCCTGAGGCAGCTCAGTGAGTAGAAAGAGGAAGGGGTTAGGTTCCCCCATCCAAGTGGCAGACCTGGTGAGTCTGTACAGCAAGAAGGATGAAACACAGGGTTTGCCATAGGTCCTTTGCCACTGTAACATTGCACAATAGTTATTAGACGACATTCTCGTTGCAGCTGAAGGAACTCATTCGTGCCACAGAGCTGGGTCGATATTACAACTCGAGCACAGTGTATGCCTTTGGGTGAGTAGCACCCACAGCATTTTTGCTTGTTCATGTGTGAAAGCTTCTAGTCAATTGTACTCTGGTTTCACTGAAATCTGGCCATGACAAACTGCTGCAGTCCCCACCGAGCTCTAGGCGAGGTTGGGCAGTCCAGATCCAGAATCGTTCAAGCATTACAGAGCTGGGAATATTTTGATATTCATGTTCATCTGAGGTCATGATGAAAAGCCAAAACTGAAAAAATTTTCAGAGGGAAAAGTTCAAGAGAGAAAAAAAATCACTGGGAAGAACTGAAAAAAAAAAGTGTGGGCTTGGCATTCTCAGGAGAAACTAAGCAGCTGGAAATTAATTTTTCTAATTCAAGAACATAATTTTATGGCCTGATTCTAGGCACCAGAAGGGAGAGGCCAGAATGCATCATGGAAAAGGTATTCCAGCCAAGAGGCATGGTCCACCTGGGAGTAGGATAACAGTGGAATGGGACAGATGTGGGACTACAGCTTCGCAGGTCATCACAATAGATCAAGAAAGCAGGAATAACTTGCAAACTGACGTATACATTTGCTTCTGATTTTTTCCATGGAAAATTACACCCCTAAATTTGTCCTTCAGCTAAGGAAAATTCCAATTTTGATGTAACTCCATTTTCAACTGGGGAAAGAAAAGTTTCACTTGCAATTTTACCTCTAGCCTTTTACTGAACAAAAGTTTGTTTCAACATCTCTTCCCCCTCCCCCAGCCAATTTTCTCTGCCAGCTGGTTGAACAGAGCTTTCCCAGTCACAGTCTCCTGCAGCTTGAGCCTGCCCAGCATTAATGGCTTGTGGTAAGGTACTGGGTCATAAATCATCCACTTGTCACCACTGGGAGGTGAGACAATGAAGTCTTGAGTGTTTCTTTTCAACCTCTGCTCAGTAGTAAGAAAGGTCATTTCTACCTGAAATGAGACTACTCATTAGACCAGTCTTGATTAATTATCACATTAATTTGACCATGTATGCTCTTCTTCCCCTAAAAGGACTGAGCACTGACTAGCACCATGGACATAGCAGCTCTCTTCCCCTACTCTGAGTGGTTCCTCTGGGTCATAGCAGTGAGCTGGAAAGTTCACACAGATATGTCTGATTTGTGGAAAAACAGTGGGGGGTTAATCTCTGGGGTTTGCCTCTCCAGTGATTCTGGAGAGGAACAGAGAGGGTATTTAACATGCTATTTCTCTGTTAGGGAGGGGGCTCTGACCTTCTTCTTCTGGTTTGCCCTCCAAATCCCTGAGAGTCAGCAGAAGGAGGTGACTGTTGAAAGGGTAAACACAATGCTCCACCAAGAGCTCTCCACCAGCTTCAACATCTCGGGCAGCCTGTCCTACCAGACGGAGTATAAGGTCAACCCAGACTCACTGGTTCTGCTGGGTAAGTACCAGCTGCTCAGCTGTGGCCTGAGCAGTCATAAATGCCTCAAGATTTAGAAGGTGCTGAAGGGAGGTGAGGAGAGAAGACCAGAAGTCACTACTGAAGGGGATAGGGGAAACCTGAAGAGGATAGGGAAAAAAATGAGAACCAGGAGATACAATTACATATATTTCTTCCTAATAGAGAAGAACTGAAGTTTGATTTTAAAAAATATCCTTCATTTGAAGGATTAAAAAATTATTGGAGATACAGCTGACCATGACCAGCTAGGTAAGTTGTTTGGTTTTTTTCTCCTTCTTCCATCAGTTTTGGCTTCTGTGGAGTAAGTTTTTATACAGGTCATGACTTTGATCAGCTCAAAAATAGCAAACAATTAGGTTTCCTACTTTCCTTTGGGAGATTATTCCAGGCTACTTGATTGAGAGAAGAACTAAGGCAACATACCTGAGTCACCACTGGTCTTCCTCTGAGACAAAGCATTGTTGCCATTTTAGTTCTTGACATGATTTTAAGAATTATTTATTGTTTCCCACAGTGAAGATCATAGCCTGTTTAAAAAGCCACCCTAGAGAACTGGTCTTAAATAGGTGTTAGATAAAGGACCAGGGATGTGTCCATATTCAATGCATCCAAGTCAAATGGAATTTGTATTTGGTCTTTATAACAAGACTTAACTTCTCAGCCTGATCTGATCCTCTTACAGAGCCCCAAACCTCAAATGATGTTTCTTCTCTTCCCTTGGGACTCTCATTTCCAAGTTTCTTCTCCCCATGAAATGTTACATCTCCAAGTTTTTTTCTTCATGTTATCTTGCATTTAAGGTGAATCTTATTTTAATATATGCCACCCATACTTTCTTCAACTTTTCCCTCCATATGTCAGTTGTTTGGGGGGAGGGGGTTCATTTTTTTGTGTGTCCCCAAAGAAAATTTGATTTCATCAAAATGATTTTCACTCCCTCATCCAGACCATCATGTTAAGATCTTATTCTAAAGCTACATTAGCATCTCATGAAGACATCTCCCACAGTTACCATTAGTCACTTCTACTTATGATTTGTTTCCAGCATACCAGACCTTATGGTCAGCCAATTTAAATTAACTGTCTTAAGAAAGATATAAGAAAATATGCTAACTGCTTCCAAGTCAGTCCGTCTAGCTTTTTCCCCTTAATTACTCACTTCATAATGTAATTCATAAACAAATAAAAATGATCGTGCCATTCTTTTAGCTGTTCCCAGTTCCCTCTTATTCCCTTTGCATCTGTTTCACTGTTTTATTCATGTCAGCACACCATGCTTCTTTCTATTTTGGAATTAACACACCAGTTGTAGTTTCTCCAGCTCCTTCTGCTTTCCCTAGTCCTTTCCACCTCCCTGTCCAGTCAGAAGCACAGTCCAGCAACTAAGGCAAAAGCCAGAAACCTCTTATACTGCTGGGCCAGGGTGACCTCAAGCCAGAAAATTAACCTCTGGCTTCACTTGCTCTGCAAAATTGGAGTGAAAAAATAGCTAGCTAATAGCAAGTCATTAGCACTTCATTGCTTGCTGGCCGACTCATTTGCTGGCCTGCCTTAAGACACAGAGCTGCAAACGACTGACTAGCGCAGGAACGTCTCCAACGTTTTATTTTTACTAACAGCTACCCTCACACCAGGACACTAGCCTCCCCTTTCCCCCAAAGAGTTTCAGGACTTCCTTCTCCTTACAGGAACTCAGTTTTATTACTTTCAGGTAAAAGAATGCTTAATATCAGCTCAGCGTACATCCTTCCCTACAGCACACCAGCTTCTCTAGGAGCCTGCCTTATGCCTGCAGGATCATCTTTTTCCACATCTGTTTTTGCCATGAAAAAACTGCTCAGCTCTCCCCGCAGAATTGCAAACTCTGCTTAGGAGCTACAAAAGACCAGAGCCCTGACCTAGGCAACCCCACAACAGCAATTCTCACACCCAGCTGACCTCATGGTGCCTTTTATTTTGGCAATTATTCCCAGTAGCACCTGATCTCTGGCCACTTCCAGTTCAGCTGGGAGGCTGGAGCAAAGGCCAGCTCTCCTGAAAGTGTTGTCCACCCTGTGACTCTGTTTTGCACAGATTTGCAGTCCTTGCTGGTGGCTTTCTCTTCATCTCCCTTCTCCAGAGGTGGACTTTATAAGGATGTTGAGTAGCTCATGAACCACTGGTCATCAAAAGAGACCTCCTTCCCCACCCTCAGTAACTCCCGTACTTTTCAGTGAGGGTTGTTTAAACCAGGAAAACAGGGGAGGGGTGAGCAGATGGTGAAGGCTGTGGGAAGTGGGCTTGTGCCCTGTGGTGTGGCTGGCAGAGGCGGGGGATGGCTGCCTGAAGCAATGCTCAGCCCTCTTGGGAAGGGGAAGAGGTCCTGGAATAGCACGTGAAAGGCAAGGAAAAAAGGCAGAGAAGCCTGTGGTGGGCTGGAAAGCACGAACTGGGGCTGCTGGATTTCAGGCAGAGGCCAGAGAGATTTCCCAGAGAGATGGGGTGGGGAAGGCACAACTGAAGCATGTCCCTGAGAGCAGAGAGAGAAGTACCTGGAGGATGCCCCATGCCGAAGTTGCGAGCGAACCATTTACATAGGAAGGAGGGGAGTCACCACCTGCCATGCCAGTATTCAGATACTACAGTTTTATCTTTTTGTTTACCTTCCTTTATATATTTCCTCTCTAACAGAATCCAGTGTGAAAGACATAGTAGTCCTGAAATCCACTCTGGGTAGGCTATTTTTTCCTTTCCTTTTGAGTTTGTCACTTTATGGGAGGGATTTTTACAGGGGCCAGAAATCTTGTTGGTTTCCTGGAGTTGTAAATCCTGGGAAAGGGGAGATGGGAACAGTAGCAAGGGAGCACCAGTGCCGCTGCTTGGCCACATCCAAACTACATGACGCAGCTACGTGCTGGACTGCTCTGAGCATCCTGACACCTCTGTCCCCATAGCACACCACTGTGCAGAGGCACCAGCTCCCAGGCGCAGTGCAGCCACCTGCAGCCTTGTCCCTGTCCTGGTGAGTCCTGTCAAATAACTTGGTGTACTGGTACAACGGTGCTAATTCCAGGCCCCATGAAATTCTGCTGAGTGGGGTGGGGGTTTCCCTGCGTGGCTTTGCACTGGATGTGCTGTCAGTCATTGAGGAGTCTGTTGTCCTAGCGATGTTGAAGATGCTTTTAGTAATTTCAGGCAGTGTTGTAAGTGCTGTGGCTGGCAGCTTGCATTGGATATGCTATTAGAAACTCACCTTTTAAGCTGAGTTTTACTCAAAATTCCTGGTCTGGAAGCCTGCTGAAACCTGGAAATCAGTTGAGGGGGGTATAAAGCTGGGAAGAATGTGGGGGTGAGAGGAGAAAGAGGTGAAAAAGAAAATAAAGCCAGTGGAAGATAACTGCGCTGTGCTGATATTTGAAGCCTGAGGTAGTATTAGCTTAACCAAGCAAGAGGGGACAGTTCTTATAGAGAGAAACTGGGGCAATGGTACGAGGGGACCGGTGCCACCATGACATAGGTGAAAGTAAACTGAGATCACTGGGATGAGTCAGCCTTACCCTGAAATGGGGCTCACACTGACATCCCAAGTGACAATCCTCTACCTTAATTTCCCTTACAACCATTCCTAAGCCCCCGTTTGCCTCCATTTATATCACCCTGAGGTTTAAATCCCTCTGTCCTTCCCCTGGATTCAGGTTGCTACAGGTACAGCTATGTCCAGGAGGATGATGTCCTAAGGCTGGAGGGCCCTGACTACCTGGCCTCCAGTTGTCTTTGGCACCTCCATGGCCTCAAGGGCTACATGATCAAGCTACACCTGGAGTGGACTCTCCCGGACTGCAGGGACCGCCTGGCCATGTACGACGCAGCGGGGCCCCTGGAGAAACACCTCATCACCTCGTAGGTAGCTCCTGAGCAGGGCGAGCGCGGCGGGGAAGCCGGGCAGGATGGCGTGACACACCGCAGCAGGGGAAGGTGCTAGACTCCATCAGAGGAAGTTCTCTTTGATGCAGCACCTGCCTCTTGCTGATCAGCTGAAGTCACTGATGTGGGCTATCACACAGCCAGTCTGGCAGCCTGAGGGCTTACAGCAGCTCTCGCTCTGCTGGGCTCTTATTTAATTCAGTTAGTGCCTCACAGCAGGCGTGTGCTGTGGGTAACACAGACCTCCGTTGTCTCTCATTCTCGTTCTTCTCTTTCATTTGTTTATTGCCTACTTCACTCCCATCCTTTTATCTCTTTCCCCTGAGGATCTACGGCTGCAGCCGGCAGGAGCCCGTTGTGGAAGTCCTTTCATCTGGCCCTGTCATGTCCGTTGTGTGGAAGAAAGCCATGTACAGCTACTACGACCCCTTCATCCTCTCAGCGCAGGCAGTGCCCCTCAAAGGTGAGGAAGGCTGGAGGAGGGCGGCCACAGATACAGGAAGGAGAGAGGTTATCTCCTACAACATCACGCGCTCCTAGGGGGGCTCCATCCCCATTAGGGGCAGAATTCACTAGATTGCAAGGGTAGAGGTGGTCAGTAAAAAGCAGGTTAGATGTGGCTCCCTCACCTGGACTCATACATTAGCATTTGGCTTGAGTCTTTACACCCCAGGCTATGGCAAGCAGAGCCTGAGTGACTGTGATACTTTAAGAGAAGGCCAAGCTCTCATGCATGGACAGACCAGATGTGGCCTGGACATTACATCCAGACCACTTGCAGATAAATGTCAATTCAATATAAGAGTCTAAAGCAGAAATATACATTACCATTACCCTTCCCTGGATAAGAGGAGGAGGCTAAAAGTCTTGCGAGGTAGAAATGGCCCCTTGAAGAGGGATGGTGGAACATCCTGGTCACCTTTAGCATCAGGCCTTAAAGCCCCTTTTCTCTCCTCCTACAATGGGGTGAGTACCTGGCATCCCCAGGCTGAGGTTGAGCTGACAGGTAGCAGGGCTTTGAATGTTTGTATTTACAGCCTGCGAAGTGAATATAACTCTGCGTGAGGGTCTGGAGCTGCAGGGGAAGATCGGCACCCCACACTACCCCAGTTACTACTCGCCCAATACACACTGCACCTGGCACATGACGGTAAGAGCCAGCTCCCACAAGAGCGTCCACCCCGTCCCTGAAACCCGTGCAGCACTGCCCACATTAGCGAAGGGTACAGCCAGTGCTCTCAGGTCATCGTGAGAAGTGAGCAGAGGGGGGCAGCCTGCCTAGCCCCCACATAATACGTGTTTCTGAAGCGGAAGGAGTCTAATATTGCATGCTGGCACAGAGAATCTGAAATCTGGTCTCCAGAGGAGTTCTTCAAGGCAGGACCAGATTGCTAGAAATTGCTAGGAATTACCATGCTCTGAGATGGGAGCAGAGCCACCCTGGGCTGTGGCATGGCCCCAGTTTAAAGGGTGCTTCCTTCTGGCATGCAATGTGTGAATTGGCAGCTCTCCCCTTCACATCTATCCTGCTCTTTTCTGTCATATGGCGTGGGCTGCAGCACTCATAGGAGCCATCTACACTCTGCTCTGGACCTCCTTGCCTGCAGGTCCCATCCCTTGACTATGGGGTCACCCTGTGGTTCGACGCCTATGCACTCAGCAGACAGAAGCACGACCTGCCCTGTACCCAAGGCCAGTGGATAATTCAGAACCGAAGGTGTGTGCTGGGGTCCTGGTTTCTGTCTCACTTCCCACCTGGGATCAAACCTCTGCAGGTTCCCTGCTCACTTCAGGCCACCAGGTCTTAGGAAGGAGAGTCTATCACCACACTCAGTGGCCACTGTTTGTACTGGTGCCTCTTGCTTTTCTACTTCTTTTTCAGCCTCTCTTGTTCACAGGCTCCCCAGTGAGCATGCTTCTTACAGACTTGCTACCAGCCTGCCTTCTCTGTCTCGGTGTTTGCATCAGGCTTCCTAGTTTTCCCCTGTGTGTGTAACCTTGGTGTCCTCCCACATCTCCTGTGTTTGCAAATCTGCCTGTCACCACCTCTGCAATATTATCTGTGTGTGCCATTGCCTTGCAACCGCCTCCGTACAGATCTTCCACCTAGCTCCATATCCTCCTGCTTCAACTACAGCCACTTCCCCCTGCACGGCTTCTCAAAATTAGCATCCGCACATAGCTGGGGCTGCTGCCCACCACTGCCCAGGTGCAAAGGAAGGACTGAGAGCTGCTGTGCTCCCATCTCCTCAAAGCAGGCTCCAACATGGATGGACCTATGGCTTGTGCTCTTCCTCCCACCTACTGCAAAATTGGCCCTTCCGCTCCAAAGCTTCCCTCAGCCCATCTCATTTAACTTCCTGTCCACTGCTCCTGTGGGGCTAATTTCTTTTCCTCTGAAGGGTCTGATTCAGAATCTATGTTCCCCCGGCTTAGGATTTCCACTTTTTCTCTCCTTGCCTTCTTCTCTTAAACTGTCAGTGCCACAGTTTCTACAACATGGTTTCTTCAGGAAGATAAATGTAAGAACCGAATTGCTTTGTGTAGCCTGACTTCAGCGCTTGCCCAGAAAGTAGGAAATGTCCAAAGATATTTAGGGTCACTCTGGACTCTGGCTGTCATGCCATATTGAAGGCATTTTGCCTTCCTGGCTGCCCACTCACACCCAGTCTGTGTGGCCCCCTTCCAACCCCAGCCCCACAAAGCCCCCTTGCCCCACTTTGTTGTCTTTTCCTCCCTCCCTTCCTGGGACATCCCGTCTGTGTCTGCTCCTCAGGTTCTGTGGCCTGCGGACCCTGCAAGCCTACGCTGAGCGGATCCCAGTCACGTCCTCTGCTGACATTACCATCACCTTCACCTCACAGATCTCCTTAACTGGCCCTGGCGTACAGGCGTCTTACAGCCTGTACAACCAATCTGACTGTAAGTTCAAGCTCCTCCCTGCTCCTTAGTGGGGTGGTGGCTGCCAGCAGCCCCTGTGCACTTGGCTTGTGTTAGGAGAAACACAAGACACATCCCATGAGCCCTAGGTACCATCTGCCCTTCAGGCACATGCTCACAAATCAGTGATGCACACACCACTGGTCTCCCCAAAAGTAGAGGCATTTATGTGCAAAGTTTCTTCCTCACATGTGGCCCTGCCTGATGTTGCCAGAGCATCCATGCACCAAAACCCAAGGTCAGAGAGTTGTCTACAGTCTCACCCCCATGCCCACATCATGGACTGGCCTTGGAAGTTCAGTGAGACACCATCTCTGGCTTGAAGCAACTTTTATTTTGATTATAAGAGCTCTTAGAGAACACTGTTTCCTGCTCACCTTCGAGGCCGTGCAAGTGAGAGACAAATAAAACTGCACACAAATACACATACACACATGTGCAAATGTACGCCCACAGTCTGTCTTTCCAAGGTTTCTCCATCTCTCTCCTAAAGGGTGCCTGTAACACATACCAGTCCCTGAATACGTGCACCTGCCAACACGTGTCTAACACCAAACCCCTTCAAGGCCCCAACCAGGTTTTAGTAACAACTCCAAAGGACCTATTTCAGCTTTCGTGCAGCGTTCAGGAGTCATGAAACAGTGCTAAACCAGAGGTGTAGCACGCCAGGCGGGTGGTTGTCCTCGCTCTTGCCCTTTGGTACAACAGGAAGCGAGGGGAGAGCCCTCCTCCCCCTGGTGCATAGCCTGGCTCCATTTGCCTTTCTTCAGAGCAGGTGATGTGGCAGATTTTGGGGAGCGAGTGCTGCTGGCACGCTGCTGCAGCACACATGCGGTCAGGAAGGTGTGCAGCTCCACACACTCCACTTTCAAGCCACAGTGCTCTACTTCAAGGAGGTTTCCAGTCACTGGGGACTAACTACTCTCTGGTGGTTTCACAGCCTGTCCTGGGGAGTTCCTGTGTTCAGTGAACGGCTTGTGCGTCCCAGCCTGTGACGGGATCAAAGATTGCCCCAATGGGCTGGATGAGAGAAATTGTGGTGAGTGATTTCTTCTCCCTGCTGGTCCCTGGTCTCAGCAGGACACAGGCCCTTGCTTCTCCAAAGGTAGGGAGAGATGGGGAGGATTCAGCTGGCCTAGGTACAGTCTTGTACCTTCCCTCCGGGAGCTTAAACCCACTGCATCCTTAAAAGCTTCATCCCACTGCCATATGGCTTCAGCCTGCTCGGGAAGGAGCAGGAACGTTTCTTGCTCCTGGGCACAGCACAGTCTTCCTGGGAGAACCCCCTAGTAGCCATGAACCAAGAGCTCCAGGCAGCCTGAAAGAAGACCCCTGCTCAGGCTGTCCCCCACCTCGTCCTGCTTTCCCCCCACCCAACCCCGACAATCAACCTCAGCTCTGGCCTACAGCCCCCTCTGCTGCCAGACCACTCAGGCATGCCCTGCTCTCAGAGCTGCCCTGCTCTCTTCCCTTTGCCCCCAGGACATTGGTGATACTTGATCTGTACAGATCCTCATATATTGCACCCCAGTTTGGGAACATCTAAGTCCTCCATCAGCCATCAGTTCTTCATGCCAACAGCAGCCAGTGCTGACACAGACGCCATCCCTGGCATCCCAGGACTCCTGCAAAGCCCCATTCTCATAAGAGCAGCATTCAGGCTCAGGCACGACACCTAATTCATCTATTTTCCCATCCCTGGTGTGAGGGAGGGGCTCATCGCATTGCTGACACCACTAATTTTTCATTAGTTGTCCCCTACGGGTGTTTTTTCACAGACAGAAAGATTCCTTTTTGGAGTCAGTGGCCAATTCTGAAGGATTCAGAGGAAGTTATAGAAAAGTCTAAAGTAAAAGGAAGGAGAAATCTTTCTCAAGGAAGTTTTAATTCAGTGCTGGAAATGTGAGACCTCTCACAGGATCGCCAAGGTTGGGTTTTTTATTGTCTGCAGTCTTGTTGACTGTGCACCATCATCCAGCTGTCTGACATCAGGGCTTGTTTGCTTCCCTCATGCAAACACGGATGCATGTGCATCCTTATGAGTATCTAATCCTTTCTTGAATCCTGTTAGCTTCTTGGCCTCAGGGATATCTTGTGTCATTCAGTTCCACAGGTTAACACAGACCAAGGCTGAACAAAAAAAAGTGTTTGTTTCTCAGTGTTTTCAACCATCCCTTTATATTTAAAAAAAAAAAAAAAATTTTTAAAATGTGATTTCCTTTCTTTCTCACACTCTTGCCACTGTTGCATCTCTGCTTATTCACTCCATGTCTGTATGGAAGAGTCCCTGTCTTTAAAATCAATGTTCACATTGCCTCAGACCTTCACCTTTCGCCATCTGGGAGCCTCATGCTAATTACTGAAGAAATTACAGTCATTGCAGGAAGAAAATGCCCAGGAGGTACTGGCCCATTATGTTTGGTGTTGCACAGACAAACAGGGGACAAGTTCCTGTTATGAGAATGTATAATCAGAAGTGAAACTCTGTGATAGGTAGGCACCTTAGGCCTATCTCCATCCTGAGCAGCTATCAGAGCTCATGGACATTGAGGAATCCATTGTTGTTCAGGACTCATTTATCAGAGAACAAGGGGAGCAGCTGCCTGTAGGGGAAGGTGACCCAAGAGCTGAGGGTGACAGCAAGGCAGGAGGAACAGTGACCTCACCAGACAGGATGCAGTCCTACAGAACCTGAACAAGGCAAGCAGACCCTGCCTGGTGACAGTAACTCTTGGGCCAACCAAGAGTTCAGTGACCTCAAGGCAAGTCCATAGTGATGATGCAGGTCTGAGGCCAAGCCAAGAAGTGAAGGCAAGTTAAATCAGCATCCTCAAAGTGTAAGACAGCGTGCAGGCATACCTACAATGTAGATCAGTCAAAGACTACACAGCTGCACTATACCAGAGCTGGTCTTAAGCACACCTTAAGAGGTGGGAGGAGGGGTTGCAGAGCCTACAGGTGCACTTAGGCCCCTGACCTCACACCTGACACCTTGTCTTGCATGCCTAATTCCCGAGTGCTTTCCTCCCACACAGTGTGTCCTGCAAAGTTCCAGTGCCGCGAGGACAGCACTTGCATCGAGTTCAGCAGAGTCTGCAATCAGCAGCTGGACTGCGTCAACGGGAGCGATGAGGAGCAGTGCGGTGAAGGTAGGGAGGGCATGGTGCTGGGCTGGCAAACACCTTCCCCTACGCTTGAGCCAAGGCTGTCGGTAGCGTACTTCCCTCTTGTGAGGTAAGGGCACCAGCTGGGAGTTAACATGCCCGACCTGCTCACAATGTTTGCTTTGTTTGTAGCTGACCAAGCTTGCTCAGGAAATTCCCTGTCACCATTTATGAAGTTCCCCCAAGCTCTCTGTTGCCTCCTCCGCCTCATCAGCCCCAAAAAAGGACGTCAGACTGCATCTAAACCTGCCGCCCTCCCTCAGCCTCAGCTCCCCTTCCTCTTTGCAGGGGTCCCCTGTGGTCCTTTCACCTACCGCTGTGAAGATGGGACCTGTGTGAAGAAACCCAACCCCCTGTGCGACACCACTGCGGACTGCAAGGACCTGTCCGACGAGAAGCGCTGTGGTGAGGAAATGCTCAGTCGCACGTCAGCCAAGCAGGTTCAGGATGCCAAGTAGCTGCAAGTTGCCCTCTTTTTTCCACCACCAGCCCGGCAAAAGCACCCACCCTTCCTTGTTCCACCGCCTTCTCCCTAGCCCAGCCCCATGGCAGCAGGGCCACTGCTCCATCCAGCAGTGGCAGTGGTAGCAGCGAGCCAGCTCTCCGTGCTGAGCGGTGAGCAGGCGTTTGCTCCTTGGACAGCTGCTCCCCTTCTCCTCCAGGCAGAGGCATCAGGCCAGATAGACGTGTCTCACAGGCCAGGTTCTACCCACAGGCTGCCTGTTGGACCACTGTGCTGGCTCATGTGAAGTAATGCCAGCCTAGAAGGCTCCAGCCGGGGAAGTCGCCCATGACTGCATGGTCACTGTCGGGGAGAGAGCTTGTGTTTTGATTTCCCTGCTTGTTTTTTCTGGAGCCTCGGTGGGCAGCGGAAGGGAATGACTGCGAGGGTTCCCCGACAGGACAGCAGGCAGCACAGAGAGCATGGTGCCCCAAAAAGCTTCGCCAGGCTGCAGATGGAGGTGGGGTAAGGCTGTGCAGGCATCAGCGGGGGCACCCGCTGGGATGGAGCGCTCGCTAGACCAGTCCTGGACACTACGTAAAGCATCTGCTGGCTGGGCAAGGCAAGGGATGAGAGGTCAAACTCTTCAGTCAATTAAGAAGGAAAGGAAAGGCAAGCACAGTCTATCATGTTCCCTTCCTTCCCTGAAGTACCTGCTGTGTCTCCTCCTCAGACTGTGGGCTGCAAGCCCCTCTCAGCAGGATCGTGGGTGGTGCGAATTCTGTGGAAGGGGAATGGCCATGGCAGGCCAGCCTGCAAGTTCGGGGACACCACATTTGTGGGGGAACACTTGTTGCTGACCGCTGGGTGGTCTCAGCTGCGCACTGCTTCCAGGATGAGAGGTAAATGGAGAGGGAAGGGTGCTGGGCAGGAGAAGAATCTCCATTGCTTTCCATGTCATGCATGATGGGAGGATCACCCAACTTGTGAAAATGTCCTGGGGCAGATGTGCCCCTCATCGGGCATCTGTGCCATCCTCCTCTGTGGCTTGAAGCCGGAGAAAGGGGTACGGATACACGCACTAGCTTTCGGGTGTGCATGCAGGGAAAAAGGGGCAGTGCTGGGATTCACAGAGAAGCTTTGGGAGGGCAATGGTGGTGGAAGACACTTCACAGCTCCACCTTTGCTTTGGCTCTGGCTTGTCTCCATGCTTTCACAACCGTGGAGGTGTCAGCATGTGCTGGGATGGGACCAGGGTAGCATTACCTGCGGAGGACACTGTTTGGGTCCCGTGCTGCCCACCTGCAGGGCCTGCCCTTTCGGGAGGAAGCACAGTCTCTCCCCCGGTTCCTTCCACCCGGTGTACGTACCACAGCAGTGGCAGTAACATATAGATCAGGGCGGGTCACTCATTCTTTCAAACTGGGAAGAAGTGAGGAGAGGGAAGGTCCACAGCTGTGCTGGGCAACAGGGCTGGGTGGGAGAAGGGGTGTGCACCCTCAGGCCCAATCTCCATTTCTTCCAAACTCCTATTTTCCCCTACCAGTGAGCTGGCAAGCATCCCCCACCTCCCCAGCTACTACTGATGGACTCTCTTCCCTCCTGGTGCTATGTGAGCATGGGGAGGAGGAGCTGCTGGTCATCCTCGGTATGGTGATGCCAGCCTTGGTAGGACTGGGGCTGTTTTGCAGTTGCACTTCTCATCTCACCCTGCTTCTGCCATGCTCCTATCTGACTCCTACAATCCAGCAAGGAAGCTCACCAGCACTGGAAGCAGGCCTTTCAAGTGGTCCATGCAGGCTGAATTTGGTCATTTTGGCCATCCAGTGCAGGATGGATGGAGCTAGCACAGCCCTGTTAGATGGCATATGTGTGTGCCTGTCAGGAATAGAATTTAAGTGGTGTGAGAGATAAGAATTAATGGAAAAAAGAGGAGCTGAAAAACAGCAGCAGCCTGGGGTGTGCCGTGCTATGGGCAGCAGCCTGTGCGGGCAGTAGGCTGGAGGTGAGTCCTGAAGGAGAGTTTGGAGCAAGAGAGATGGTCAAACCAAATCAGGGAGTTTTTTGCACCCAGAGGGGCACTGTGGGAGAAAATGGCATGTGTAAGGCAAAAGGTGGACAGGACTCTGAGTCTAAAATCAGCCCTCTTTCTGCTTCCTCCTGCTCTGGTCCAGGGTGAGTTCCCCTCTGCTCCTCACCCTCCTGCTGGAGACAGAGTCTCCCTTGACTGTTCGCTTTTAGCTGTCCTGTTCTCAGATTCTGTGTGTATGCCCAAAGCTGGTTCCACTGTACAGGCATGTCAAGGCATCAAAAAGATGTCCCACCCAGTTTCTTGAAATCAGGTAGCCAAATAAAAAAGAGGTCCCTCTGAGGGAGATGATCATCCATATCAGAGACTCCTCAAAAGACTGCAACAGAAGGATCCAGGCTCTGCCCATCCTTCTCTGTTCATGTGATGAGTTATCATCTCTGTTGCATCTTACAGACTGGCCTCTCCCTCCATCTGGACCGTTTACTTGGGCAAATATTTTCAAAATGCCACCAGCCACACAGAGGTGTCGTTCAAGGTGATCCGTCTCTTCCTCCACCCTTACTACGAGGAAGACAGCCATGATTATGATGTGGCTCTGCTCCAGCTGGACCATCCTGTGATCATCTCGCCCTTGATCCAGCCCATCTGCTTGCCTGCTCCTTCTCACCTCTTTGAACCTGGCCTTCATTGCTGGATCACTGGCTGGGGAGCCCTCAAGGAAGGCGGTAGGTGCAAGGTCTTTGCGGGTGGCCTATTGCAGCAGAGCCAAGGCAGAAACATATGTTCAGATGTGGGGTAGGCAGAACAGGCTTCTGTTGACCCCAGAGCTCTATGCCTCCTTCACGCCCTTTGATTTTGTGTCACAGGTTGGCCAAAGTTACCTGTTGAGTGCCTTGAAACCTCATTCAGAGAGGCAGGCATGAGAGTCTGGTAACCTGTATGGGGACAGCATGTATTTCTTTATCCAAAGACTAGAATAGCCCCTCAGTAATTAGGGGTCTGTCTAGTGGCTATTCAGCCATGGTCACAGCATGGAGCAGCCTCAGTCCTAAAGCCCAACCCCATGCTTACATAGACATGTGGGATCCTGTTGTGTCGTTCCCCAGGGACGATGCCTGACCAGAGAGAGTTGAGATAAAAAACCTGCTCTTCATCAGACTGGGACTGGGGTACCTGTTTGCAGGCCCTGCAGCAACATTTTCCCCATATCAAAGACCCTAGGACCTGGGTCACCCCAGCAACACCTGTACTAGCAAATTCAATGGGAGCAGTGCAGTGTCCCTTGAGGATCACACTGTGTAATTGTTAGTATGTGCCCTGGTTCCTTTTGACAATTCTGACCACATAGCACCCACACACTGCTGTGGGACAGCACGGGCCAAGACCTGTTGCCATGGGGTGGTATGGATGAGTCCATTCTGTTTTGCGAGGAAGAGTTTAGCTGCATGAGAGAACCTTCATGTTCTCTCTCTCCCCATAGGGCCAGCAAAACAGGTCCAAGCTGTTGTCTAGTAGCGCATGGCACAGGAATACAGATGTGCTTACCCAGGTCAGCTTAATGCCTTCACTCACTCACTCACTCACTCACTCACTCACTCACTCACTCACTCACACACTTGCTCCAGCTGCTTCCTAAATGGAAACACTCAGGGGTCTATCCAGGACTGGACACTCCTGGTTTGCATACTTAGCTGGAATAGCTTAACATCCATTTCAATGAGAAGCAAACCCAAAACTCTGACATCCCAGAGGTTTCCCCAAACCAGAATCCCCCTCATCCCAAAAGGTGAAGTGCCC